TGGGGGCAATATGCTGACTCTCTGTAAACCGCTTAGAGAGGCCTGAAAGGCCTATGAAGCGGTATATAAGTCTACTGCTATTGCTATTGCTATCACTGGTGATGTTACCTAGTTTTTAGTAATGAAACGTCTTCAAGAAAACAGCCAAGCTCAGAGAGCACCAAGGACCTTTCATTTCAACCCTGAGCTACAAATATTCTCCTTTATTGGAACTCGCTCTGTGTTTTAGTCTGCAGTTTCACAAAGATAAGCTTTTTCCAGATGCAGAAATGTTGAGTTACCTTGAATTATTTTCTTTTAAATGCAGAGTTCTGCTGCATATCGCCTAGGCAGTGTACGTGCTACATTTCTAGCAAATCTGGCACTTAGTTGTGTTCTTCAGCTTTTGGGAAATCTTGACTGGATTATTTTAATTTTGAAGCATTTATTTGCAACTGTAGGTTTTGGCAAAATTCATATAAAGTTGCAGCACATGGGTGTGATTTAAAAGAGGAATAGAGTGATTAATTCTTATGAACGACCTCCAATAGATTCTCAAAAACCAGAATATTTTCTGATTTATAATGGTCAGGGCCCTACATACTTAGCAATTTAAATTTTTGTTGTTTTCCAAATGGCATTGGAGCAATTTTAAGGGGGTCTTTGATCCACAGCTGAAAGGCGGGGAGGGGAAAGAGTACATGTAGGGCCCATGAGCTATTGTATGCTGTTTTATAAATAAATAAATGTTAAACAAAGAACAAAGAAACAGCAAAGGCTTAATTGTTATGAAGCTCCAAATTAGTCACTGAGCACTCCATCAATTGAGGTTTTTAAGAAGAGACTAGACAGTAATTTATCTGAGATGGTATAAGTTCTCCTTCTTGGGGGCTGGACTAGAAGACCTCCAAGGTCCCTTCCAGCTTCTATTTCATTCCATTCCACTCCATTTTTTGTGAGGAGGCCAAAAATGCTGTATTCAATGTACAAGACGCATCCAGATTTTCACCCTTTTGGGGGGGGGGAGGTGCGTCTTATACTCTGAAAAAAACAA